AGGCACGCGCGCAGACAGGGTGCACGCGGGCGCAGGCGCAGGGGAACAGCGCGCGCAGTCACGCGCGCAGGAGCAGGCTGATGAGGATCGAGTGTTTCGACTGCCGATAAGCCGCTAACTCGCGCCTTGAATAGCCGATAGTGTTTCTCTAGCCACGATCGCGCCTATTGAAACGAATTAAATTGCAATAGTATTCTGGTGAAAAGACTAAAGACATGTCGAACCCACTCCAAATCTAGCATCTCCCAAGCACGCCTAACACCAGTAGCCGAGTGAAGGAGCGCCAGACCCCACCGTCTAACACCACTAGTCGGAATGGGGGAGGCTTGGGCCCTCAACTCCGACACACAATCAGAGCCCCGCCCCTCCTCTCAATCCACAAACCAACCGATACCACCGCAATCCACCGGCGACAGGACCAGAAGACCCTGAACGGAGGTCCATCGAAAAAACGGAACTGCCCTAGGGCCCTCTGCTCGCACACATAATCAAGAAAAGGAAACCAAAGAAGAGATTGGAAGAGAACTCACCACCGATCGAGACCATCATGTGAACGACGCCACCAATAGCAACCGATCGACGACCATCGAGCTCGCCGTCTCCAACCGCCACTACACCTGCGAACAAAGCCTGAGCAGACCAATGCTCCGCAACAACGCTGGAGGTCCGGAACAATAGAGAAGAGGCGGCGGTCTAGCACGACCACCGGCTGGCGGTGCACTGCCAACATGTGGAGATAGACGATGTACCAACAGACCAAACAAATAATGTTGTGTGCAAAGATCTGTTTAATATTATATAAGTTACATTTTGTTTTATTAAAACACATGCGTTTTTACGTTCTTACGATCATCCAATCATCCAAATCTAAATTCTTAAATTAAGAAAGCTAGCTCGTGCATCGCACGGGCAACACACTAGTTTTAAGTAATATATATAATGTTTAATTAGCAACTAATAAAATAATATTGAATTTTTTTAATAAATACTCCAACCACATGTAGGTTTACTTTACGGGTACCGGTTCTGTTTTTGAGAGAGATTTGCACTATTTCTCCTTCCTAAGTCATATATCATATAAATAAAGCCCCTTTGCCTCCTCAGCTCAGGCTATCTACAAACGCCCACAATTGAATTGATTGCAAACCCAAACTAAAAATATGGAGAAGCCGAAGGGCGATGCAATGGTATGTATTCTATGTTTTTTCAATTAATTAGTTGCTGGTGTTGAATCAACTCTCCTTGAAGCTATCTATAGATAAATAATTTCGTATGCTGAGTGTGTTTGATTGTGTCTGTTTCCGTGGATCGAAATTCCCAATTTTGCTCGAAAATCATAAACTTTGCCAAATTTGTTACATATGATGATGTGTTGTGATGTTTGATTGATGGTTTACTCGATTTTTTTTTTTTTTT